ATGGGCTTAAGCGTTAAGTCAAAGCTGATAATAAAGGAGAAAGTGCATGAATAAAAGAATGAGAATATCATAAGTTGCAAAAGTAGAAAAATGGCAGTAATGTTCAAGAGAATGCCAGAAGCAGTGACACGATGTATTTTCATGAACATTCACTTGGTAAGGCACAATTATTATTAGGGTCAGCCCAATTACATAGTTAGGCCTCAGGCCCATGAGCTCATGCTAATTTGAACAGCTGTTCAAAAGAAGTTCATTGCTATTTGTTTGACAGATGGAGAAAATGATGCTCACTAATGGCCTAAGTTGCTTTGACACAAACTGATTTCTCTATTGTTAAAACTTACTTGCAATATCAATTGCAAATAGCTTTGACAATCTGAACCTATTCTTTAGTGCTGACATCCCAAGGAGGAACTTTTCAAAATCTGAGATCCTCATTTGAAAAGATATTATGGTTATTGTAACCAACTTCCTCTTATTCTCTTCTAAAGGAGAATTGAGAGTGGGAAATGTGGGTCATATACATATTCCCGTTGCTTGAAGGAGATTGTTAGTCACCTTTGTTGCTGATTGCCATTATTTGGAGCTCATCTCCTCTACCTTTGGAAATAAAAGGGATGATTGCATTTTATTCTCAAGAAGGGATTTATAAAACTTATAATGTTGGAAGAAACAGCTGTTTCTCTTTACTATGGCATTTGCTTTCTTTCATTGCATAGAATGTCAGCTGGGAGATGCTACTAAATGTTGGAATGAATGAAACACAAACTTAGTGTTTGTTACTATTTGGAAATAATATTTCCATAATTGTTTTTACAGAAGAGAGTAAAATGTCTTTAAAATAATTTCTCATTGGGACAAAGAAGACAGAAGACACAATTGAAATGAAGCCCATTCAGTTGGAAAATGTAGATAAAATGTATACAAATTAATTACACAATAATTGAAAAACACTTTGCATTTCTACAGTAGCTCTTAGAGAAGCTCAAAGACTCAGGTTTAGGGAGTAAATTTTTTTTACTGTCTTTCAAAATTATAGAGCAGAATACTTAGGATCCTCAGTCTTCTCAGATAACCTTTTCTAATGATCAACATTATTCAGATTAATGGGATTCAACATTCTCCTAAGTGGAGTTTGGGGATAGAATTATTTTGTTGCTGTTGTCATTGTAATTTTAAGAAACTGTTTTCTTTTCTTCTCACTTTCTTTACCTCAGTATTATTGTGTCTATTTTGAACTCAATGTCTCCCTCATTCTCATCAGTCTACTGATATTTCATCTGTTTCTGATATTGCCCCTCTTTCATTTACTTTAAACCCAGCAGCGAGAGTGGTCCTTTTAGAGCAAAAGGCTGATCATGTCACTCCTTTGATCAAAATCTTCCAATGGCTTCTCTCTCATTCGGGATAAAATCCAAAATTCTTACAATGGTCTTCAAAGCCCTACTTCCTCTCACCCCACATTATCTCTCTGACTTCTACAATTCTTTCTCCCTCTTGTCCTGCTCCAGTCACACTGGCCCCTTGCTGTTCTGGAAACACGCTAGGACCTAGTCACTTGCTATTTATTCCCTCTGACCAGAATGCTTTTCTTCCTCCCCTCTTTTAGGTCTCTATTCAAATGTGCCTTTCTACATGAAGACTCCCATAGCACAGTATCTATCAGTTTTGACACGCTGACACTCCCTGTCTCCTTCCTCCCTTATTTTTTTTCTCTAGCATAGATTGCCATCTAGCATACCATGTTACATTTATCCTTTTCATTATTTGTCCCCCTCAATGAGAACTTTGTACCCTGTTGACTGGCATATTCCCATTGCCTAACATGAAGCCTGATGCATGTTAGGTGCTCTCTGAATATTAATATTTGTTAAATGTTGAATGAATTACTATTTCTAAAACACACACACTGAAAACAAACCAAATGCACCAGTTCTGTATCATGTGCTCCCCCTTCAAAATTCTCCTCTGCATCCCTTCCTAGTAGAGTCTGGGTGAGATTTGTCAATAAAAGGCACCCAAGAAAAATTTGGGGAGCATAAGAAAAGCTATCATCCTCTTCCAGCAGCAGTGGACCAACATGTGGGGACATAACATAGCAGATGTGAGGTATGCATCCCTTCCTGGGCATTCTCTTGTGACTCATCTGCTTTAGAACCTATGTAGCCCAATCTCTCTTCTTCCTGAAAGTCAGTGGCTATTTTCTTTGACCCGTAAGTAACCCTTCAGCCTTTCTGGAGGTTTAGCATGCACCAATCGCCTTTTTGCCTGATTCACTTTTGTCTGCCTCACCAAGCTCTGATTAAAATGCACCAAAATTATGAGTGTAACAACACACAAACATAAAAAAATACACAAATCTTTTTAAATCTTCAGCTATAAGCATGACTTTCTGTCCCTAAGCTAAACTCCCCTTCTGATCTTTAGTTCTATCAACTAATTTCCCTACAGAAAGACTGCATCAATTATAGCAGTTTAAGGAGAATGCTCAAAACTTTACTAATTTAGGTGCTAAAATTCTCTTTTATTTTAACCAATTTGGTAAATCAAAAATAGTATATATACATTTTTAATCTTATTTTATTTATGGTGTGTTTTTATTCAAAATATTTATATTTTCATGACATTTAAGTGTAATTTTTATGGTTTTTGTCCTGAGGATTATGCTGAGAAAGGCCTTTTTCTCTTGGGTTTATATAGAGTTTTTTTCTATATTTTATGCTATCATTTTCTTTCTTACTTGAAATTATTTGAAAACCATTATTTTTCTCTAAATATAGGATTTTTTGTGTTACTTTGGCCTTTCCATTCAATTTCATTGAACGAGGTATAAAATTTGTTGCTAATTCCTGTCTGTTTCAATTACTGTTGCATTATAGTTTATATTTATATCTTAAAATAAAGGATCTGCTTTATAATTCTTATTTTTTAATGTTTTAAAGCTCTTCGATCATGATTACTATTATATGGAGATTTAAGAAGCTTTTTTTTTTGAAGTATCTAAAGTTTTTTCTCAAATGTGGATTAGAATATCAATGTTGGGAAATACATTTGGAAAAACTAAAACTATTAATAATTTTAGACTTTCTTAATAATGATTTTATTCCCTTTTGCCTTAATTGGACTAGATAATGTTTAATCTAGGTTATGTTTTTGAAGCACCATAACTTGCTTTTATCAAGTCTAGTTTCTTTTTTTTTTTAATTTATCCATTCCTAGATTCAGATTTCCTAATCCATTCATCCTACTTTCTTTGTTTTGTTCCTGTATTTTTTCCTAACTTCATTGTTGAATATGTCTAAATACATAATTCTTTTTTAGTAATAAAAGCATGTACCAGGCCGGGCGCTGTGGCTCACGCCTGTAATCCTAGCTCTTGGGAGGCCGAGGCGGGCGGATTGCTCAAGGTCAGGAGTTCAAAACCAGCCTGAGCAAGAGCGAGACCCCGTCTCTACTATAAACAGAAAGAAATTAATTGGCCAACTGATATATATATATAAAAAAAAAAAAATTAGCCGGGCATAGTGGCACATGCCTGTAGTCCCAGCTACTCGGGAGGCTGAGGCAGAAGGATCACTCGAGCCCAGGAGTTTGAGGTTGCTGTGAGCTAGGCTGACGCCACGGCACTCACTCTAGCCTGGACAACAAAGTAAGACTCTGTCTCAAAAAAAAAAAAAAAATAAAAGCATGTACCATTATGAATTACTTGGAAATAGCTTTGGATCATCTCTTGTAATTTGATATATAATTTCTACTGTTGCTTTACAAATATTTCATAATCACATCTTTAATATCATCTTCATCTCTAGAGCTATTAAAGAGAATGTTTTAAAATTTTAAATAATAGATTTTATTTTTTACATTGTGATAAATTTCTGGTTTTATTACAGTATGATCAACTGACTCCCTATATCATGGAAATTCTGGACGTTTGCTTGTGACATAGTATCTAGTCATGTTATTACTGCAAAGGCTTTCATTTTCAGGCATTTGTCTGTTAACTTTGTTCTTGGCATCTTTTGGCATGCAGATTTACTTTTTTGGGGGGAGGGGAGTTAAATCTGTCCAACCTTTTTGGCTTCTGGGTTTAATGACTTCATTAGTTAAGTACAGTTAAAAAAAAAAAACTCATGAAATTATATAATATGTTTAACTTCTGCCAAACTAGACTATTTTTATTTCCTTAAACCAAAACTACACATTCACATTAACCAAATTTCTTCTACTGTTTTATTCTCCCTGAAATGGATTTTCTCTCATCTACATCTGTAGCAATCCTGCCAATTCCTTAATATTTATTTTAAAGCCTACCTCCTCTATAATATTTCCTTATTTGCTTGTATTGTATAATCAGATGTAGCTTGCCCTTTTCTGATTTTCCACTGCACATTATTTGTAACTTTTCCTGTGACATCTCATATCCTTCCTTGCACTGAAATTAATCCAGTGCTTACTTCTTCCTTATATAGATATGTACTTTCTTGAGCACAAGAACTGCTTTTTTTTTAATGTTTATTTTCCCCTGACATAAATCTTGCACACAGTAGGTAAGAATACAATAAGAATACTTATTGTTCTTGAGTGGTTTTAGTATAAGAGAGAGACTTTCTATGATTTAAATCAAAGCACTCGGTTCAGTTCATTCCAAGTTGCTGAGGATGAAAAGATGGTTACTTTTCCAACTTGAAGTATCCATTCTGATTAACCTGACAAGATGAACTACGGAGACCCAGGATGCTCAGAAATGCTAGACAGACTTTTAACTTAATAGTTCAGGAAATATGGTTGCTATCATTGTTTCTGTTTTATGTTACTGGGCTTGAAGAATAAATTTCTCAACTTCAGTTTCTAAGATATCTGAATAAAAATATATTGTTTGTCTGTAAAATATCACTAGGGAACTGGCTGTTTCAGATGTCAGGTTGATCTAAAACACACTTCCTTTTATCCACAGCTTTCTGTTTCCTTTAGCAATTTATTGGTGGTAAACAATCCTTGGGCTTGATATCATCACAAAAGTTCTCTGATAGGCTCCTTTTTTAAGAACCTGTTTGAGGCTTCCCAACCGAAGTCTGTTAGGTAAGGCCAGTCTGTTCTCAATACCTTACTGCCTCTATTTGGCTGTTAATAATTGTTTTTGAATGGAGTTCTTTTTAAAATTTTTAATTAAATTAATTAATGTATTTGTTTTTAATTTTTTAAAAATGTATTTACTTACTTGTATAAATTTCAGGAGTACAGGTGTAATTTTGTTACATGTGTGTATTGTATAGAGGTCAGGTCAGGGCTTCTAATGTATCCATCATTGGAATAATGTTCATTGTACCCATTAAGTGATTTCTCATCATCTACCCCCTCCCACTTTATCCTTGCCCTTCTGAGTCTCCATTCTCTATCATCCTATACTCTGTGTCCATGTGTACACATTATTTAGCTCCCACTTATAAGTGAGAACATGCAGAATTTGTCTTTCTGTGTCTGAATTGTTTCACTTAAGATAATGGCTTCCAGTTGTATACACATTGCTGCAAAAGACCTGGTTTCATTCTTTTTTGTGCCTGAATAGTATTCCATTGTGTATATGTACACCACATTTTCTTTAACCAATCATCTATTGGTGGTTACTTAAGTTAATTCCAAATCTTTGCTCTTGTGAACAGTGCTTCAACAAACATAGGAGCGCAGATATCTTCTTGATATAATGATTTCTTTTCCTTTGAGTACTTATGCAGTAGTAGGATTGTGGAATCCAATAGTAGTTCTATTTTTAAATCTTTGAGAAACTCTTGAATGAAATTCTTTATTTGAAGTATTTAATGAAAGAGTTGTCTTTTTTGCAAACTCGTTTGAGGATTTATTTCATCATTTACAAGTGGAAAATAGATTTTTCTATAAAAATTTAAGGGAAACTTTCTACTACTCCTGCTCATTCTCTCATTTACACACCATGGTTGCTTTCCATCCTTTATGGTATCTTTTGTTAAAGCTCTTATCTTCCATTTTACATGTTAGAGACCTCTCTAATAAGGTACTGATTTTGATTGGCAATGAATGTGGGCTCCTGTTTGATACCATTTTCATGGATTTAAGCACAGTTATTAGCTCTATATGTTCTAGGTGAATAAAGAAAATCTCTAATCCTATAGCCATTGCCCCAAAGCAGAAGAATCTATAGCACTAGAATTTCATGACTGATTTGTCAATTTCATTGATTTTTCATTTTTCTTGCTTTAAAACAATTCCAGTGGTGCAAGGTATTCTTATTGAAATTTATCATGTCATATATATATATATATATATATATATTTTTTTTTTTTTTTTTTTTTTTTTTGCTAGGGCTACCATAATAAATAGCACTGACAGCATGGCTTAAACAATAGAAATTTATTTTTCACAGTTCTGGAGTCTGGAAGTCAGATCAAGATGTTGGAAGGTTTGGTTTCTCCTGAGGCCTCCCTTCTCCTGTGTCCTTATATGGCCTTTTCTCTGTCCACCCTTATCCTTGGTATCTCTCCCTCTTATAAGAACACTAGTCATATTGGATTAAGACCCACTCATATGACTCCATTTAATCTTAATTATCTCTTTAAAGGCTCTATCTCCAAATTCAGTCATATTCTAAGGTACTTGGGGTTAGGATTTCAACATATGAATTTTGGGGGACACGGTGGTCCATACACCATGGCAAGTGAAATATCACATTGTTCTACTTAAAGGATTATGGAATCCAATAGTAGTTCTATTTTTAATTCTTTGAGAAACTCTTGAATGAAATTCTTTATTTGAAGTATTTAATGAAAGAGTTGTCTTTTTTGCAAACTCCTTTGAGGATTTATTTCATATTCACAAGTGGAAAATAGACTTTTCTATAAAAATTTTAGGGAAAACTTTCTACTACTCCTGCTCATTCTCTCATGTACACACCATGGTTGCTTTCCATCCTTTATGGTATCTTTTGTTAAAGCGCTTATCTTCCATTTTACATGTAACATGTAACACTACATGTAACATGTTCAGTACAGTTCCCAGCACATAATTTGGATTCAGTCATTGGTGGTGGGAGTTACTTTTACTGTTAATGTGTGGCAGTTATTATTATTATTATGTATTACTACTATTTAGTGACGCAAGGCCATACTAATACCAGATATTTCTAAGGTAAAAATTATCTTACAACTATAGTGGTATTAATACCCAACCAATGGATCTCTTATTTTAGATGCAACTTGACATTATAAAAATTCCAGGCCAGTAGAGGGATTTGGACAAACAAAATAGAAGAGGTAGTTTAATAAACTGAGAGTAGTAGTAGGGGCTTTGGAATACAAAGACCTTCATTCAGATTCCAGCTCTGCTAAGTATTGGCTGAGTCCTTGAGGCAAGTCCATTAACTTGCCTGGACTCTCAGTTTCTAAATCTAAAAAACAAAATAACAAGTTCATATTTGTATTGTGAAGATCAAGTAAGATAACACATTTGGAAATTTGAAAGGGCAATGCTACATGTTTATGGGCTTTATTTCATGACTTCTTCTGAGGAAAAGGGTAAAGAAGCTCTGTGCTTTAATATTTTTGGAAGACTTAAAAAAGACAATAATTTCCAGTGAAAAAAGAGTTGTAGGGAGAGAGTAACTTTTATTATTTATTATGGCAATCTAGTTTCTTTTATTAAGTAATTCATGCACCTGATAAAAAATTCAAGCAATACAAATGAGTATACAGTGAGTGAAAAGACAATCTTATTCTCACCTCTAACCTTCCGTTCCTCAGCTCCAATATGGAAACAACCATTGTTATGAGATTCTCATGTTTTGTTCTCTTCATATGGAAATATATGCTCCCCTTTTTCCATGCACCCACTTAAAAAAATCTATGATATATATATATATATATATATATATATATATATTTTTTTTTTTTTTTTTTTTACCTTGATCTTTTCATTCAACATTGTATCTTGGAAATTCCATCACATGATGTCTGTAGGCACTTAGTTCTCTTTTCTGGGCTTTTCCTCTTTATTACTTGGGGCTTGAAGCCTAACATCTGACATATATTTCCTTCCCAGCTGGTTGCTAGTCATAATCTTCCACAGGGAGGCACTGCTGGAGATTAGGAGACTGGAGAAAGAAAGAAGGTGTTTTTCTTCATATGGCTCTAGTACTGGCAGTGGTAATAACAGGTGGCAGCAAGTGGCTGCAGGTGTCTGTAGGCTCAAACACTATTGCTGATTCTAAAGTAACAGCAAGGCTGGCATGGCAATGATTCCAGTAGCCTCTGCAGCAGTCATGCTAATAAGGTTGGTAGCAACAGTAACAAGGGTGACTTTTGCTCACCTGTACTGAAAGTACCTTCAGCAGCTCAGTGGCAAGTAAAAGTATACAAGCTTCTGCCCAAAGCAGTAGCAGACTTTTGATGAGCAGGTAACACTCCCTTGTCCCTTTTTTCACTCCTGCCTTTTCAACCCCTAGCGGCTTTCTAATTTCTGGGAAATACCTCTTTATTCTTTTTGCCATCCCCAACCCTACCCAAGCCTTGTCTGGCTGTACTGTCTAGAGAGGTTTATGTTTTTTCTGACTAGATACCAATTAAAATAGCAATTATATATCTAAATCTATTTAATCTGTATTTTCTTTATCTGCCATTTGTAATGGCTAAATGGTATTCCATAGTATGAGTGCACTATTATTTATTTAATTGCTCCCTAGTGATACATATTTGGACTCTTTCTGGTCTCTTACTGTTACAGTTATCGCTTACCCATGTCAAATATATCTGCAGAGTAAATTCCTAGAAAAGGAATTGCTTCATCACAGGCTTTGTCAATTTTAAATGTTAATACATATTATCAAATTACCCTCCAAAAAGGGTGTACTAAGTTATAGTCCCTTAAACAATGAAAGGGAATGACTACTTACCCATAGCCTGGCCAACAAAATGTAGTATCAAACTTTTTATTTTGACAACTTGATGGATTAAATGATATCATATTAATGTTTAAATATATATAGTACTTAAGCTAAAGTAAATGTGAAAATCTTTTCGAATGTCTGAAAGTCATTTGTATTTCCTTTTCTGTATGCTACCTATTTCATGGCTTTTAAAAAATTCTATTGTTATTTCATTTTAACTTATAATATTTCTTTATATACTGAGTATATTAGTTCTTTGTCATATATATTGCATAATTTCCTCTAGTTTGTCATTGTCTTTTGAATTTCTTCTTTGCAGAATTTTTAATATTTATATAGTCAAACTTTACACTATGACTATTTTATTTTATAATTCTGGGTTTTATGTTTATTGTAGGAAAGCCTTCTCAACTGTGAGATTCTAAAATATACTTTTTTCATAATTTTTACTAAGGTTTTCGTGATAATTTTTTTCTATATTCATGTCTTTTATCCATCTGGGATTTATTTGGCTCCAGGGAAAGAGGTAGTGATCTGACTTTATTTCTTCCAAGTGGTTAGCAAGTTGTTTCAACATAATTTATTGAGTAATTTATATACTGTTTCACTGATCCGAAATTATATCTTTATCATAATGCTAAATTATTCTGTTCCATGGAATTACTGTCTATTCATGTGCCAGAACCAGGCAATTTCAACTATTATTTATATAGTCTTTTAAAATCTGATAGGATTATCATGCCCCCCTTTTATTATTCTGTTTAAACATTTTCTTTTATCTTTGGATGTTTATTTTTCCACATAACTTTAGAACCACTTTGACTAGTTAAACATCTTTTAATTGGTATGGCCTTCAACTGATAATCAGTTTAGGAATAATAGAACAACCTTTTATATATTTCAAAACAGAGACATTCTATATCTATAAAATAGCATAATGCCTGCTTCATCCTGGCCCATAATCCTAACCATTATGCAGTGCTGAAAACACTGCTGTTGGGCAGCTGAACATATACTTTTTAAAATTAGAAAAAAATATAATTGTGAAGGCATTGCCATTACCATCTTGACCCTTTTGGACATCCAAATTAGCACACGGGAGAGTTTTCTTTTTACTTACAATGTGTGTTTATGGGCACGGGTGTTTATTTTCCTTGAAAGGAAAATATTTTCGTCATAAGGAAGATGAACATAAAAGAGTAAAGCAAATGCCATCAGTGCTTAGAGCTGGAAGAGACTGTAATGTGTAGTTATCTAATTCCAGTGTTTCATTTTACAGACGGAGGAGTGAGGCCTGGAGAAAGGAAGAGACGTATCCAAAGTCACGCCATGCGTTTGTGGCAGAATTGAACGTAAAGTCCATTTCCTCTGGCACTCAATTTACATGTTCTGTAGAGTTCATTGCTTCTCTTTCTGATCCACCAGTTACATGCTTGAATCTTATGGCCAAGAAAATGATACAGCTAGGAGAACTGACTTTATGTGTATACATAAAGTCTGTTATGGCACTTGGTACAATTTGAGGTCTCAGTCATTTGTCATGGTAACAGAAAGCCTACGTTAAAGACTTAGTCCTATAAATTATGGGGTGTTCAAGAATCTCATTTTAAGATACGAATGGTCCTAGAAAGGTGGCATTTGGATACCTTTCCTAAAAGTCAGAGGGAGGGGTGGATGGCCTTTAGGAAATTTAGGCATTAGATAGCATGGATCCACTCCCTCTACATAACAACTCATGTGACACTGGCTTTAAGGGACAGGGAAGAAGACCCAACAGAAAGATTTTTAAAAGCCTAAGAAAAAGGTTGATCATTCCCTCCATGGCTTGCTACATTTCTAAGAGTAAGGATGGGGGGCTGAATATATAAGATGTCCCTATTTCTAGGTAGCTAGGATTTAATATTGAGACTCTTGACTCATACAGGGAGTTAGGAAGGGATGTAGCAGGGTCTCAGATAGAAGCTTCAAAAAGTTTTAAATTTAACCTGAGCCCACATCCAGTGGTTTCTTACAGGCATCCCTGGGCTCCTTGTTAAAACAGAGAGAGTTAGACTGCTAAGTATCTTTTTGCTTGGGTATTACTGTGAAGGTTCTTTTGATGTTTCTATGCACTAGCTATTCAGAGTTACAGACACTGTGAATATTTCACAAGATAGCCCCAGATATTAATAGCATTTGGAATGCTTACATAACATGACATTTTAGCAAAAAGAATTATTTTCTATGTGACACAATTGTTTGCAGATTTTCTTATTTTTTATATTTATGGAAAACGTGAAAATGAATGGCACCCAACAGAAACTGTCTTACCTGAGGAGCACTGAGACTCTTATACTAATTTCACTTCCTCTTAAGCATAAGCCTTTGAAGTATGAATGGCCAGAGAATCTAAGGCACAAAGGAGTGATGTCAGTAACTAAGGATGGATAATGGCCTGCTAGGTCCAACCATGGCTCCTGATGTTTATTCAAATTGACAAGCACTAAACAGGAAATTCTGAGGCTTGAATGAATATTAGAATTGCCTGGATATTGTTCAAATGCATGTTCTAGGGATCTTCCTTAAGAAAGCTTGAGTAGTATCCCTTGAATTGAGCAAAAATCTGCATTTTAAATAATTGCTTAAGGGGACTCTTATATTGGCAGCCAAGATCATATACTCCTTCTAACAGTGGAGTATCTCTAATTATTTCTCTCCAGCAAGAAATATTATCAAATCACACATCACAGAATCTCAAAAATACAAGATACCTTATGACCATTTCACTAGTCCAACAATTTTGTCTTTTTAAGATCCTTCCAGAACATCCCCAGTGGAAAGTGGCTACATTTTATATAGTCTCCCCTTATACTGAAACAAAATCTTTCTCCCTGTGCCATTCAGTCACTGTCCTACTTTCAGGGCTATGTTTAAAAGGTTAAGTTCCTGTTTCATACATTAAAAGGTAATCTTATAGAACCTCCACCCTCCAACACTTGCATTCTCTGTGGAAAACATCCCTAGTTGCAAAGCATTAAGGGTTTTCCCAATGATAGCAATTTTACAGTCATGAGAAATAGTTTAGCAGATGTTTTTTTCTGACGACTCCAGGTTTGAATGTCCATTTTTCAAATTCACTAGTTACTCAATTGTTGTGCCCATATTAATTGAACTGCCCCCGAACTACCTACCTATAGCCCAAGCCCTTCCCTGTAGTTCACATTGGGAAGTGCAATTACAAGGTGGCTTTTACCAACTTCTATTTTACTCATTTTACTAAAGATCTATTCTCCAGGTATTCCTGACCTATTTGGCTATGAGGTGCCAGGCACTCTGTTTGGTTTGCTGATGTGACGTCAACTATAGTGATAGGACAATTAGGGTGGCTCACTTTCTCATTTCACTGTGGAGTGGTCTCTTTCCTTTTAACTTCTTTCCTTTCCCTTTCTTTTAAGTTGGAAGGAGGGGTAGCAAGGACAGGAAGCATCTTTATCTGCACTAATCCTTCTAAACAGTACTTCTTTTACCTGCCTTTGTTCCAGAGAACTAGCTCTCCCATATTTTAAGAAATTCTGGAATTGTTATGAGATTTTTCTCTAAAGCAGAAGGACATGAAAAGAAGGGTAGAATGCAGATGGGGAGAGAAGAGGGGAGATCATTTTGGATAAAGGATGCAACAGTAGAAAAATCTACAGGGCCAGCCCATGTAATTGTGTGATGGGGAATAGATGTGTGTGTGTGTGTGTGTGTGTGTATGGTGGTGGTGGTGGTGGTGGTATCACAATTCAAGGATCTCAAGTGAGACTACAGAGTTCACTTTAGGGACCTATAGAAGGTAAAATTAAGCAAGCATAGTGAGGATAGTCAACTGTGGCTGGCAAAAATGATTAAACTTCATGCTTAGGCAATATGGACTCCATATGTTAATGTTTTGACTTGCCTACCCTACCTTATCTAATGTCCTAAGAATGAGCTCACTGCATTACTTCAAACACTGTAGGAAAAATAATCCAACTAGAAGTTGATTTGGTATTATTCAGTTAATTAGCCTGGTATTAGCCTCTGTCAAAGGAAGGTTAAGGGTTAGCTTCTTTAATAGAGTTCCTGTGGAAGAACACTGACAAGAAGACAAATGTGACTGATTTCCCACCTAAATTAGAATGTTCTATTTGGATGTGGGCATAGAGAGAAACAGAATCTGAGATACTGACATTTATATTAACAGAGCCATATGTAAAAGTATCACAAACATCACCAACAATTATGGTGAAACTAAACTCAGACTCAATATCTGTTATTCAGTCCTTACTGGTAGCATAAGTTCCCATGGCTTAACTTGCACATAAGTGAGTATAAGTATAAAAAACTTTATGTGCATACGTGTATATTGCTCAAAATAGATTTGCTCCTAGAAAGCAGAATATTTTTATAGACTGATAGAATATTTAAATAGCATTTAAAGCAGTAAGGGAACTTTAATGATATTCTGTGAGCCAGCAAGATTAGTGGTACAAGTAAAAAAGAAAAAAGCTTTCAGAAACTGCATTAATTCAAGCAGAGTTTACAGATCAAGAGAAGAGATAGATGTAGTGAATTCTGCACTTATCTGATCACATACATCATACTGTGTTAAGTTCTAATCACCATCTTTAAAAAGGAAATAGATGAGCATGTGTTCCTATGTAAGACACTTATTATATGTTAAGAAAGATCTGAAAATAACTTTATAAATAGGATATTTAGGCCAAGAAGGTTTGGATGGGAAGGATAATTATTTTTAAATATTTAAGTAGCTGTAACATGAAAGGGAGAGTTTATTTTCATGTTTTCTTATGGCTAGACCTAAGGCTAATAAGTGACATGTATAGGCAGGGAGCTTTTAGCTCAATATAAAAAGAATTTTCTAAAAAATCAAAGCTTTATAGAAATAGAGGTATCTAAAATAATGGTTAGATGATTATATGTCTATGATATTACAGAAAAGATTCCTATGAAAATTTGATGTAAGGTAGAATTAAAAACCTTCTATATTCTTTTCTATCATACATTGTTATTATCCTAAAATATTCAGAGCATGGTAGCTTGAATTTTTTAATAAAAGTGATAAATTTTGTGGGTATAAAATGAATAAAATATATTTCCATTTTTACTAATTAAAGTTGTATGTAAATTTGATATTTATTTGTTTTTTATATGATATATAACCACAGAGAAATATATTTCTAAAACATGGTCATCAAATATTAATAGAGTTCAGTACCTGAGCAATGCTATTATGAAAAGAATATAATTTTACATTGCAAGACTAAACTTAGGCAGTATTTATCTACTTATTTGTGTGATTTAGCACTGATGTCTTTTCTGAGATACAAACAAAAAAAACAAAAAAGTTGAAGATTTAGAACAAAGCTTAAATCTTTAAAAGTTATAGTGCATTTTTTAGTACAATTAATCATAGGAGTTACAAGACAATTTTGGTTGGCTGAACAAGAACCAGATAAAATCTCCTCCCCCTTTGCCCAGTGTTTGTTCCTATCAGTTAATAACATGAGAACCTCAGGGCTCTGGGGAGACCCAGGAGAACAGCATGATATTCATCCTGCAACCAGCTACTCGCACTGTGTTTAAAACAGGAGACTGGTTAAATAGATGGGCCCTGAAGCCAGAATGCCTGACTCAAATGTGAGTTTAGTTTCTTCAAAACTAAGTGAAGTTGGGCCAGTAATTCACACTTTTATTGTCCCAGTTTTCTCATCTATAAAATAGAAAAAAAAATTTACTTTATAGGATTGTTGTGACAGTCATAATTAGAGTAATAGCTAATATTTGTTGAGTGCTCACTATGTACCTGGCACAATTCTAAATTCATTGGCCATATTGCTCATTTAACCCTTATAACACACTATAACATTGATCTTTTTTTTTTCTTTTTCAGTTGGGAAATGGAAGCACAAAAAATGTTGGCAAGTTATTCAAGGCAATGGTATTAACCCAAGCAATCCAGCTTCAGAGATCACATTCTTAATTAATACTCTCTAACATTACCAAGAAGTTCTTAGCACACAGTAAAAAACTCAATAAATTATGGCTAATATTATTAAAGACTTATGTTTTACATTGCTCAGGTACTGAACTTTACTATCTTTGGTTACTATCTTTCAGAAATAAAGGGGGATCTGAACAAAGAGATGATACTAGAAGACTATGGTCTTGCCATCCTGAATGTGCCCAATCTCATCTGGCAAAACAGATTAGATGAGATCCTTTGTGAGACTCTAAACACAAACAGAGCTACTTTGGATTCCAAGTAAAAAGGTAGAAAAGGCCATCCCTCTGTCTCTGTTCAGGACTCGTTTAGGGACAACATGGCAGG